AATAGTGAATGACGGATGGTGGAGGGGGGAAAGATTGGTGAAATGGGAGAGAAATCAGAGATGCAAGGAAGACATATATGGGCGGGGAGGCCCAAGCTCTCTCATAAGTCGATTGGCCTCAGCGGCCCTGCCCCCTGCATTGCTGACTCATACTTCTCTCTTCTTCTCGTTTTCCTTTCTTCTTTCACTATATCCTTTCAGGACCACCCAACGAGTTCTCAAAAATTTCTATTTTCGTTAATAGAATCAGAAAAAAACCCCTTTCACCTGACTTTGGGTACACGGAATGGATAATTAGAAAAAAAATGGAGGGGATAAATTGAAAAAACATGATTTCTGGTTTCGTTTTTCACTACAAGTTGGTTTATTTGAGGAAATGGAATGGATTATTTGAAAAAAAACCATACTTTGGCTTAGTTTTTTGGTACAATTTGGCTAATTTGAAGAAATAGAATGGATTATTTAAAAAAAATCATACTTTGGCTTGGTTTTTTTTGCAAAATTTGGCTAATTTGAAGAAATGGAATGGATTAATTGGGAAAACCATACTTTGGCTTAGTTTTTTGGCATAATTTGGCTAATTTGAAGAAATGGAATGGATTATTTTAAAAAAATCATACTTTGGCTTGGTTTTTTTGCAAAATTTGGCTAATTTGAAGAAATGGAATGGATTATTTAAAAAAAATCATACTTTGGCTTGGTTTTTGGCGCAATTTGGCTAATTTGAAGAAATGGAATGGATAATTTGAAAAAAGCCAGTCTTTTCGCTCAGTTTTTTGGCACAAGTTCGTGACACAACAACCAATCGAACTTCTAGTAAAATAAAGCTTAACTTTTTAGGACTTTAAGACTTCTGTAGTTAAGAAAAGACAGACAGTTAAGTATCAAAGAGAAAGAAATTTTAAGAATAACGACTATGACGTGAAATTTTTTAAATCAAAAGCGGTGAATGCGTGCGATTTCACTAAGCAAACAGACAACGCCTTACCGTTTTTCCGTAAAAAGAATTTAGAAAACGGTGACCTCATCAATTGGGGAACAATTGGAGGGCAAAGTGACGTGGAGTGGGAAATAAAGAAAATCGAAAAAGAAAACAATATTCCTGAGGAAATATTGAACTTTTCGAACTTGGCAACAGTGTACTTTAAGGACAAATACTTTAAGGACAAATACTTTAAGGACAAATACTTTAAGGACTTTACCCATTACCCTTTTTAAAAAAGGAGTAAAAAGGTAAAGTTTTGTAAGAGGAAAAGAACAAACTTCGAAAAATAAGAAAAATTCGAGAATTTTCTTTTAATTTGTGCAAATTAATTCAATGTTTAGTCGATCGTTTTTAGTCGAAAATTTTCACCTTTAAAAACAACAACAAACCGGATGAGCGAACACGCGAACAAGCCATTTGATTGAAATGATTGAAATGATTGAAATGATTTCTGATTTCAGCAATAGAGTTTAGAGTTTAGAAAATAGTAAAATGAAGTAAAATGAAGTCAAAAATCCTCTAGTGAATCGAAAAAATGTGTCTTGTCAATGAAATGAGCTTTTTGAAGAAGCACAAATAATAAGGAGGGATCTATTGCTTATCGCTGAGTCTGTCCCACTCTTGAAATTGAAAAGTGATTCACACAAAGAATTTAAAGCAATCATTTCTTTTTGAGCTCATTTATGGAAGTACTCGAAATTTTTGAGATATCTCTAGAGATTTTCTGCTCTTAAAACGATGAGGGTTTTTCTTAAAGCTGATAAAATGCATGAGTATTGTAAAAAAATAGTGTGAACTAGTCATAGAATTACTGTACGATTCAGTCAACGAGCTAAATGCCAGTCATAGAATTACTGTACGATTCAGTCATTTTATTTTTATTTCATTGCTTGGCTAGATTTAAAGCCGCAATTTCTGCAATTGATTTGACTGCTCTGTGATTCTTTCTTGAGGTATCTATTTATCTTTTTGGTGTGTTTTGAGTGGCGTCCCGGGTAATTATTGTGATTTTGTTTTGGAGCTATTCAACTGAATAAAGCATATATAATAGGTTGATGCATAAGTGTTTTTGTTCCTTTTCGTCTGCCGTTTCAAGCCAACAAATGCACCAATTAAACTACGGTTGATTTCATTAGAAAAAGCCAATTATTTTTCTGCAAAATAACATTAAAACGGGTTTAAAAATATTGAATGCCTGGATTTTCTTGAGAGTATGAAGTCGGGTAGTCAAAAAGGGCTAACTCGATGACACCTTAGCCTTAGGTTTAGACACCTTAGCTAAAGAAAGCCTATCTTCGTGTCAATAGATAAAAGATAGAGAAAACAAAACGTTTGATATTTCGCCAAAATTTCAGAGAAATTCATTCAGCCAATTTTTCCGTAGAGTTTTTTAGAGATTTTTACGAAAAAGGCGTTTTTCACTCTCGAATTTGCTTGAAAGTGAACCGAAATTCATTTAAAAAGATGCAAATTGAACAAAAAAACACTTTTTTTATAGAGCAAACTATAGATTAATTCGTGAATTTGTTACTTTTTAACAGAAGTACGAAAAAAACGAAAAGACTTATGCATCAACCTAATATATAAGCGAACCTCCTATATCGACCCCGATATAGTAACCCTCTTAACGTGGCGGCCGGGCCGCCGACGTTACTATATAAACGGCCCCTTATAACGAACCCTATATAACGTAAGCTATAGCCGTCCCGTGAGTTACGTTATAGAGAGGTTCGACTGTATATATATACGGTAACCAATCATAATGTTCTAATATCCAGTCGATTTTCCATAACTTTCATCTAATATTTAAAAATTTCCCCAGTATCCTCCCAACATTTTTTTTTGCTTTATTTTTCTTGAGAGTATCAATTTCTAAAGACATGTTCTTTCTCGTGTAAAGAAATCGACGTCATTTTATGTAGGGTGAAAGAAAGGGAGAGTACTAAGGCTAAGGCTGGGCAAAGGGATCAATGCTCATATAAGCCTTCCCCCAATTCTACATTGGGACCTTAGAAAGAAAGAAAAAAAAAGAAAGAAAGAGAGAAAGAAAGAGAAAAAGAAAAAGAGAGATTCTAAAAGGTTTTTAAAGAAATCTCATGAAATGCAGGAAAATTAACTGACAGAATTTTTTCCCTCAAATGCCATTTTCTTTCCTCTTTCTACTCGTAAACTTGACTTTATTTTCGTCTGTTTCTATAAAGGATTCATAGAGAAAAAGAAAAGTATGGAATAAATTTTTAAAAAGACTTGATTATGGTAAAAAACAAAGAAATTTGGCATTCTTTAGAAAATAAGAGACGATCGGAAATGATATAAGTATCGGGTTTAAAGCTTTTCAAAAACTATCTCAATATTCAACTACTGGCAAATCGAGGTGATAATTCTTTCGGCAACATAGATTTTCTTTTATCATTTGATAGATTTGAATAACTGGGGTAGGCTAGTTTCCGCAACTTTTTTTTAGCGCAACAGGGTCATTTGCGCAACTCGGCATAACTTTCTTCTAAGTGGGCTAATCTTTATGATTTTGGTTTCATTTTGTAGAACTTAATAAGTGCAACAAAATGAGACCAAAATCATAAAGATTAGCCCGCTTAGAAGAAAGTTACGGTGAGTTGCGCAAATGACCCAGTTGCGCAAATGACCCTGTTGCGCAAATGACCCTGTTGCGCAAATGACCCTGTTGCGCAAATGATCCTGTTGCGCAAAAAAATTTGCGGAAACTAGCCTACCCCGAATAACTCTATCAATTGATCTCTAATCGAATTGCGAAAAAATTTCGCAATCTCTTCTTTCTTTTTTTATCTTCAAACTGTTCAAATGATCAAAAAAAGAAAAAAAAATGCAAAAAAATAAACACTAAACTATAATCTTTTATCTAAAAGAAAGGTTTAAGAAAGATTTCCTAAAATCATTCTGATTTGAAATCTTTTTTTGATGACTCATCCTCCACTCGTAAACACAACTCTTTTCGTCTTTTTTTTTTTTTGATTTTGAAGTGATCTCATTGATTGCAAAATATCAATTTCACAATTCTTTTCTTTAAACTCATCAAAATATTCTACTAAATATATCAAAGTGTGACTTCTGAAACACAAAAAAAAATCGAAACTTTGCGCAAAAGTTCTAAGAGAAAATTGTGAATTTTGCAGCTTTTTTTGAAGTGTTGAGTCACACAGAAAACTCTTTTTCCCTCTTTTTTTTTTTTCTGTTTAAACTATTCTCATCCAGCTGTTTTCTCTTCAAAAAAAAAGTGAAATCACTTAAAGAAGCAAAAGATTGTAAAGAAAGAGGGGATTTTCTTGGAATCGTTACGTAAAACCGATCAGTTCATCAAAAAACATTTTGGTTTTGAAAGAAGCTAGGGGATTTATTGTTAGAAAAGTTATAAGATTTGGATTTGAACAAGTGTACTTTGTGGTCTAGCAAAGAAAAGTGTACTTTGTAGTCTAGCAAAGAAAAAAAAGTCTCTTTAGCACACTTTAGAAGTTAATTGTAAGTTTACTAGAGTAAAAAACAATTTCATTATTAGCTTAAAAGTTATACGAAGTTCAGAGTTCAGAAATGTTTCAATTAAACACATTTGTGCTTTAAGTTTAGTCAAAAAGACAAGCTAGATAAGCTAGATAAGCTAGACAAGCTAGACAAGCTAGATAAGCTAGATAAGCTAGACAAGCTAGACAAGCTAGATAAGCTAGATAAGCTAGACAAGCTAGACAAGCTAGACAAGCTAGATAAGCTAGACAGGCTAGACAAGCTAGACAAGCTAGACAAGTTTGCTTTTCTTTAAAACAGTAAACAATCTATTTTTGTAACAAACAATTGCTGAGTAAACAAGCTTTCTCTAAAAATATTTATTGTTTAGTAAAGGCTGTGCCAAATCATCACAAAAATTTCCCTCTTTTTTAATCTTTTTGAATCGTATTTTCCCCATCGGTCAGATTAGATAAGAATCAGCCGTTTTTTTTTCGAAATATTCTTCTCCAAAACAAGTATTCTTTTTAAAGAAACAAACCTTTCAACGTAAGAATATTGTTGAAAACATTTGTGTGCTCTAATTTCTCCCTCAACAAACGAATCACTTTTGCTGACGATTCACCCGGAGAGTTTTCCTGTTCGGCAAATCTGAAAAAACTTCAAAGTTCAAAGTAAAATGTAAAAATTGACTTTTTCTAGTTCTTCTAGGTCTTCTAGTTCTTCTAGTTCTTCTAGTTATTCTAGTTCTTCTAGTTCTTCTAGTTATTCTAGTTCTTCTAGTTCTTCTAGTTATTCTAGTTCTTCTAGTTCTTCTAGTTATTCTAGTTCTTCTAATTCTTCTAGTTCTTCTAGGTCTTCTAGTTATTCTAGTTCTTCTAGTTCTTCTAGGTCTTCTAGTTCTTCTAGTTCTTCTAGTTCTTCTAGTTATTCTTTTTCTAGTTTTAAAAATGATGATCTTTTGAAAACTAAGATTTACCAACGATCGTAAGTTTCATTTAGTTGCACAACATTTCACCCAGCATTAAAGTCCGCAATTCATTCCTTAAGTCTACCCTCAAAAATGTGTACAATCAAACATTCTGATGACTCATCGCCAGTCTTTCTTTATATCCCCATTCATTCTCCTCATTTGCATTCAAACATTAGTGGAGGGTCATAGAGAAAAGAAAGGATTGCAAAGAGAGAGAGAGAGAGAGAGAGACACACATCCCCTTTCCATTCCCCATTCCTTTCTTTTGTCTTTTATTCGTTTGCCCTTGGTGTGCTTGGTTTTGAATATTTCTGGGTAAAAAGGGTTATTAACAACTACAGAGATCGGCTAGGGGTGAAATAAAATGGGTAATCAGGGGTACAGGGTAACCAGAAATAACCCGAACAAACATTTTTGACTCGTTTTTCACATGTAGATTGACTAAATAAAAATGCTTTTAAAAATCATTAATTATAACACTCTTAATAACTCAAATTCAAAAGATTTGGGTCCTAGACCGTTTCTGTAAGTTCCAGGAGTTGAAAGAAGTAGCTCGGCCAAGAGTAAGCGGCTCGTGCAAAAAGAGCAGCGACTCCAGAGGGTTTAGCCGAGCTGCTTCTTTCAACTCTTAGAAATTACAGAAAAGGTCTATGACAAAAATCTTTTGAATTTGAATTACTAAGACTTTACGATCTTTAAAGGTATTTTTATTTCGTCCATCTGCATGTGAAGATCGAGTGAAAAAGGTTTTTTTTTTTGGGTTATTTCTGGTCACCGTGTAAAATGATGTTCATACTTCGAATAGTAAGTACCATGTACCAAGGACTCGGTTATATTCATAAACGAATGAGATGACCAAAGAAGTTTTTTAGGTTTAGCCTTAGGCTTAAGCTTAGACTTAGGCTTAGGCTTAGCCTTAGGCTTAGTCTTAGGCTTAGTCTTAGGCTTAAGCTTAGGCTTAAGCTTAGGCTTAAGCTTAGGCTTAAGCTTAGGCTTAAGCTTAGACTTAGGCTTAGGCTTAGGCTTAGGTTTAAGCTTAGACTTAGGCTTAGGCTTAGGCTTAAGCTTAGACTTAGGCTTAGTCTTAGGCTTAGTCTTAGGCTTAGGTCTTAGGCTTAGGCTTAGGCTTAGGCTTAGCCTTAGGCTTAGGCTTAGGCTTAGCCTTAGGCTTACTGTAGTTGTTTGTTTTATTCGAAAATTCCCACTGAAATGTGGTAGTGACTGATTGAGTTTTACGTATCCTCATACTTTTTTTACACCATTTTATCACCCCATTACCGGTAGCTTCGGGAAAAGAAAACCCGTTCCACTCATAGTTGAATGTTTGAATGTTTGAATGAATATCTATGTCTTCCACACCTTAGTCATTCCCCTTTTTTTCTCACCGATTTCCTCGTTGACTCAGAAAAGAGTCGGCTTTTCAGGTTCTTTTCGAAATTTTCCGGGGACAAAGGAGATTTATGATGAAACTTTTACAGTATTCCCCCATCTGGTATTGGTATTCATCGCGTGATTCATCAAAATGGGAAATTGGTATCCTCTTTTGAAATCAATGTGTCTATAGTATTTTGAAATTTTCTAATAGAATTTTCTAATAGATTTTTTTGATAGAATTTTCTAATAGAATTTTTTAATAGAATTTTCCCGTTCTTAAAAACGGTTTCCATGAGAATCATTGTGCTTATTTATGGTTTCGGGAAAAGAAAACAAAAAAAAAAAGAGGGAAGAAAATGAGTACAGACTTGAAAAGTGAAAGAAATCTTGTATGATAAGGGAAATTCATTTAAATTGTGGACAAGTTCTGAGTGATTTCAATTGCAATTCTGACTCATCACTACAGTATCCTTTTTAGGGCTTTTAGTAAGACGAAGATAAGGGAACTTCTTTAGATATTCTTTAGATAAAGTAAAACTGGCCTTCTTTTATGAGAAATGCGACCAGGTTGTGGTAATTGATGATTGTCTTGTTCACTATCAGCATATAGCACGAGATCCATCATTGTTGGGACGATGGGTCGTGAGCCGAGAATTTGACCGAGAAGACACGTTGAATCCACCTGAAATCTCAGAGGATTCACTTTAGAACTTGCATCTTGTATTTTCTTTTCATAAAACATTGACTTGAAGATTTTGGAAAGTGATAAACCAAGATAGACAAATTTCTAGTGAAGAAGTTGATAAAAGTTGTTTGAAATGCTTGAAAAACGCCACTTGGCATGCTAGAAAGCGTGTGTTTACAAGCCCAACGTACAGCTAAGGTCGATAAAGAAATCAGGAAAATTTGCTATTGAATTTTCTTGTGATTTCTTGGCTTTTTTTCTAAGAATCTCTTGTACTTTTTTATAGATCAAATAACCAAATGGATCAAATAGATTAAATAGATTAAATAGATTAAATCTTATACATCAAATCTTATAGATCAAATCTTATAAATCAAATCTTATAAATCAAATCTTATAGATCAAATCTTATAGATCAAATCTTATAGATCAAATCTTATAAATCAAATCTTATAAATCAAATCTTATAGATCAAATCTTATAGATCAAATCTTATAAATCAAATCTCAGCACTTTTCTTCCAAGCTCCAATGTTTCTATGTTCCTATTCTGATACGTCAAAAAGTTGTGCCTTTCGAATGATATGAGACCCAATTTTTTTTCTTTGAGAAAATGTCTCTATTATGACAACAATTGATTTCCCCCTTTGAACAAATATGAGTAATAATTGGAGATTTATTTTGTGAAAAAGTGACGTCATTGGGGAGGAATTCACACGAGAGTTCGAGAAGTTCGGTAAAATTAACAGATTAAAGAATTTTTGAAAAAAACCAAGGCATAGGATAAATCTGGGAGCTGCTGAAACAACAGTGCCGGCCAAAATAATGCGCTTGAGGTTTAGTTTATTTGTGTTTCTTATTTTCATTGGATTTAGAAAAAGAGAAAAAGAATTACCGTAATAATTCTAATAGAAGACCAGTCTCTATTAGAAGACCAGTCTCCAATAGAAGACCCTTTGGGGAAGGGGTTGAAAATTAGAAGACCATGGTCTTCTATTAGAATTATTACGGTAGCTATTTGTTGAATTTTTTCGAAGCCATTTAGAACAAATCGGAGATGAGAAAATGCCCAAAAAAAGAAAGAAAAAGAACTCAAAAAGAGGTTAACTGAGCTTTTCTCGACACCATTTTTGTTTTAAGTGATCCGAAAGTATGCAAAATGAAGATAATTTCATTCTGCATCCAATAACAATAAGAAACACATACCGTAAATACTGTAGTAGTACCCTACCCCCATAATGACGGTGCGGAGTGTTGCGTAGTCTAGCTTTGAACGAGTTTTTCTCGACACTGGTTTATGCTACAACGCGCGCTTAGGTATCAAAAAATAGCTGAGATTCAGGGCTATTTTTTGATACCAAAGACGCATTTTTTGAAAGTACGGGTGCTTCGAAAAAATGAAATACTAAAAAACTTTTGTGACTACGCGACTGTACGGGGGCGGTGGGGTACTGTATTTAGTGTATTACAGTATTTACGGTACAGTATTACAGTATTTACCGTAGAAACTTAAACGTGAAGGGGCTATTTTTTTTCTGTGGCGCTTTTTTTGATCAGCTTTCATAAAAAAATCCTGAATTTGAGTATCCAAAATTTGTGCGAAATTTATGTATGAAAATGAAAAATTTCAGTAAATCAATAACAAAAAGGATAAACATTAAAGGATTTCCAATGGAGATTGGGAAAATTATCTTACAAATTTTCAATGAGAATGTATTTAGGGAAAGGACTAAAATGAGTGAATGAGGGGAGGGGAGGGAAGCGAATTGAGATGGATGTGATTGTCCGGGAAATGGAAGGAGACTGCAGGACTGAGTCATTGAAAATAAACAAAAAAAAAAGGGGGAAAAGGAAGGTTTTGAATGGGAATGGGACAATCACTTTATGAATAAGCTATGAATAATTTTAGAATAGAATAGGCGGCTTTCGGAAACAGGTTTAGGGAAACAAGTTGTTTTTGCTTGAAATTTAAAGGAGAAGTTGAAAAAATGGATTTGATTACATAGAAAAGTCAAGGAGAATTTCATTTGAAGTATTAAAAAAAAAGCAAAAGATTTTATTTAAAGTATTTAGAAAAAAGTTGGACATCGATATTTTAATAATTTTAGAAATCGGGTTCACAAAAAGCAGAATTTGATTTCATAATCTAGCTAAGGAAATTGTGGGAGTGCATGGCTGTGACAGTCCCATTTTGTGGGGAAAGAGAAGAGGGGAAGAGAAGAGGGGGAGGAGGAGGGGAAGGAAGAGGGGAAAGAAGAGGGGAAGAGAAGAGGGGGAGAGAAGAGGGGGAGAGGCTGAGTCACAGGATGGGACAACCCATTCAAATTGATCGTTCTTTGAAGAGCAAAAGAGATGGCGATGATTCGAGATTGTTCTTTCTGAATGACATCAATTCGGTAAACAAAATAAATGCTAAAATAAATGAATGAGATTGAGAAATGAAAAGATTAAAGGTGAAGAAAGGATACCGAGGGGCATATACGATTTAAAATCCAATCATAATATCATTAAATCCAATCATAATGTCCTTGATCCTCTTGGAACCATCAGGGAATTCTTCAACAAAAAAAAACCAAGAAAAACGAAGGAAAATCGCGAAAAGCGGCGGAAAGGCTATTGATCTGAGGGTCGCTGGTTCGACTTCCACCGGTGACAATATTTTTCAAAAATTTTTTGCTAAGATTCTGAAAATGCGTGTCTAGGGGTTATTTTTGACGCCGATCACGAAACACATGTTTTTAGCCTAGGTTTCTGCACGGAAAACTAACGAAACGTGAAAACAGCCATTTTTTTGGCTCTGCCGCCCTTTACTAAAATAGCTGTAAAACTTTTAGAAAAGAGATATCTCAAAACGGTTTTTACCAAACGATCCGTCTTGAATTCAGCTTTAGGATGAGCTATAAAATGTCAAAATTGGACAAATTTAAGGTACTCTTCCAAAAAATCGAAAAGGACTTTTCCGTCAACCCAATATTTGCTACAGTAGATGATGATGATTCGAGATTTTTCTTTTTAAATCACATCAATTCGTTTCGATTTTTTTATCGTAACATATTTTATCGATTCTAATTGATTATTTATTAAATAGTTTTCAAACAAATTAGATTATAATAAAGTAAATCTAATGATTACGGTAGTTTTAAAAGTTATTTTAGAAAATAGATAGAGAATAGATAGAGAATAGATAGAAATAGAAATAGAAAATAGAAAATAGATAGAAATAGAAAGAGATAGAAATAGAAAATAGAAAATCGATTTTTTAGAAAACATATAAAAAGAAAGGAAAGACGTAATTGTAATTTTAGCCTTTTTTTTATCTTATAGTTTAATAATTATTGTTTATTGAAAAAGAGAACACAATAAAAACGAAAAAATGGTGTCAAACCAAGTCCGAAAATCGAGTTTTCGACACGTTTTTGTTTTGGCAGTGTCAATGAAATGGGAAGCTCGAAATGAGCACAAAGAAGCCAAAAAGATCGAGAGAGAAAGACACAAAAAAAAGTCAAAAAAAGGACAAAAGAATGACTGATGAATCACCACAGAAATCCGACGAAATGTCAAAAAGTCCCAATAAGGAAAATCCCCTCTTTCCCTTTTTCACGAATTTTTTCGTAACTGTCCCTTTCCCCCATTTCCCCTTTTATTTGCCAAAGGACTCATTACGAAATCGACCTCTTGGCGAGGCTTTCTTAGAGTCTATTTAGAGGTCACAATTACAAATCTTGATCGATTTTGTTACACTAAAAAAATATGAAAGCTTATATTTAGCATACTATAACTTATACGAATTCTAGCTGACAATTTGAAACAAGTTTTTGAATGGAAAAAAGATACACTTTAAGTAGAAACAAGTAAAGGGTAAAGAGTAAAGGATAAAAGAATCCATTCAAAAAATGGTTTGACTTTATAGAGTTGACGTTGAGATGTTGAGATGTTATTTGTTTGTAAACAAGAATAAAATTTGGATTGAATAGCGATTGAAAATGAAAGAAAATGTGATCAATGATAAAGGAGAAAAGAAAAAGAAGAAGAAAAAGAACAAAATGACGAAAGCATTGAAGAAAAAAACGGGGGAGTGGAGGAATGGAGGTGTGCAGGAACGGGGTGTCACTATGGGAGAAAAGAGGCGAAGAATCAACCGGCTAACTCATCCCAGAAGGTTCAACAAAACAAAATCACTACTATATGTAAAAAAGTAAAGAGTAAAGAATAAAAGAATTCAGTCAAAAAAATGGGTTGACTTTATAGAGTTGACGTTGAGATGTTGAGATGTTACTTGTTTGTAAACAAGAATAAAATTTGGATTGAATAGCGATTGAAAATGAAAGAAAAATGTGATAAATGACAACAAAGAAAAGAAAAAGAAAAAGAACAAAATGACGAAAGCATTGAAAAAAAAACGGGGGAGTGGAGGAATGGAGGTGGGAAGGAACGGGGTGTCACTATGGGAGAAAAGAGGCAAAGAATCAACCGGCTGACTCATCCCAGAAGGTTCAATAAAACAAAATCACTACTACTATATGTAAAAATTTGAATGAATTTAAAACCAAGAACATTCTAACATTTCGAAGGAAATTTATGATCAAATTTCAAACGATCACTGCTTAAATTGAAGAAAAAAAAGCTTTAGATTTAAAGATTTCTTTATCTAGATTTCAAGAAAAAACGAAAATTAAATATTATGTTGATAAAAACAGCTTAAAACATAAAATTATAATATAAACATAAACATAATATAAACAGAGCACGTGTGGCTGACTGGTTAAGTGTCTTTTATCTTAATCGGAAGGTCGAGGGTTCGAACCCCACATGCGACATGGTCACCCCCTTCGGATTTCCTTTCCCTTCGGGTTGAGAGGTTTTCTGGAGGGCAGTCTGGTGGTTGTGGCCCCAGTTCTTTAAAGTGACAAGCCACTCCTTCATCGTCATCTTCCCTTCACCACCAAAAAAGCTATTTAGTTCCCCATTGAGCTTAGGGTTAGGGAGCCGTCTGTCATG